CCTCCGCGTTGAAGATGCTAATCGACTTTCTTTATTAGACCACCGATATCTCCAAAGTATTGCTCGTGTCTGATGGGAACACCGGGTGAGTAATGACGAGGTTCGCCGTCGTTTGTTGGGTGCGAATAGTCATTCTCTAATGGAAGTAATCGCTCTAAACCGCCTCCGAAAATTGAAATTTATCTGGTGTTGTCTATCTCAATCATCGGTTCACTGCTAGGGAACTATCTCGATAAAATAACGAATACATCTGTTGGGGAAGCGGTAAATAGTACCGAAATTGTGGGGCACATAAGGTAGATGTGAAAGTGGAAAAAATTAAAGAACCGGCGGATATAAATGCAGAAGTCTGCCTTAAGGAAAGACATACCGAATGTAGGATTTAGTTAAACTATTGAATTTCGAATGGGCGAGAAATGGATCTCGATGCACTAGCAAACTTGTTCTGATAAACTATCAAACACGACTACATACCTCTCTCTGGGCTAATAAACCACTCAGTTTATCTCACCTGCGCTAACTATTACTACTTAACCATCGATTGTCGAGAAATTCTCGTCTATGGATGTTTTCCACAGGAAAATTCGGGATTTGGCGACCTTGAAGCAAAAGTGACTGCACATTCGTGCACACACGCGACCTTCCGGTCGCGAGGAAACATCACGTCGGCGTCAAATTACTGCTTACGCTGCTGACGGTTATCTCCTTTCATAACCTGCGGTCATTGGTCACGCAACTGGTTGAGCAGGAGGAGCAATCCACCGGAACTGACTCGGGACCATTAAACCTCACAACAGGGTTAGGTGACACCCAGTCTTGCAGCCACACTTCGTAGGTACAAGGCGCGTATCAAATGGACTCAGAAGAAAACAACACTTAGTGCGTGCTCCATTATTTTGCTTAGGAGGGAAGATTGAACATGAATAACGAAACGGGGATCCCTTGACGAGCACACTGCTGCTGAGTTCGAACGAACTACTTATTTCCTTGTAGACCCTAGATAAACAACACGTGTGCGTACAGTGATCTCAGTAAGTTAACCTACTTCTGGGGCATCCTTTTTGGAAGAAACGAACCCATTAGAGCTTTGCGGTCAATTGAGTCGAAGACTCCTTTGACTTCAAGGAACACTGCGATCGTCTGTCAGCGGGGGATGAGGCTCAACCTTAGGATCTGACACAACGTAAAAAAATGATCAATTCTGGCCTGCGCTATCTTTAGGGAGTCAGACGTGGCAAACGCTTTAGTGACGATTGGAATCAAACTTATCTCGCGAAAGTGTGAATTATAAGTGATTCGTCTCAAGATGGTAGCCTGCACTCGTTCCACGAGATGTTCAGTAAATTAGTAATAGATCCCGCGAGGTTATCACCTTCCCCCATCAATGAGACACATAGTTATTACGTGAAGCGACGGTTCTATGTCATTAACATCAATATACACATTTTGGCATATTGTCTGCTAAATTCCATCGTCGACAGAGTAGAGGAAAGACTGGACAGTTGACAGTAGAGTTGACCAGAGAAAATGGTGAATTTCAGTGGACTAAAAGGTTGCAAAGAAATTGAGACGATACACTCGAACGCCACTGGTTACGACATCTAACCGTGAGACTCAGCGCGCTGCTACCCTCGTATTTAGATACCACGGAACGATAACCAGGTTCTGATCAGATGTGAGTTGTGAATTGTGGCATTATTGTGCCGAAATAAGGGTCGCCACCTGATCATTCAATAACATTAACAGCAATAGATAATGTGGCAGTGTTTGAATTTACTTATGGGAATGTTGTGGAATAGCCGCCGTAGCTCGGGAAGTGAACAAAAATTTAATATCAACTCAACTAACTCTTCTTTTTTCCTGCAGTCATGTCAACAGAAATCACCCGTGTGCTATACCGATCGGACTGAATTTCTTAGAATATCATTGAAAGTGTCTCCAGTTCTATTCTCGTCGCTTTCCGCTACGTAGTCCACGATACGTTCCCCGGCCTTGATCATCGTTTTTCTGTTTGAGTCAAAACATTTATTCCTCGCAAATGTTTCACTTTATAAGAAGAACACAGAGGAGCGAATAAGCTGGTTTGCGGTGATTCATCTACAAGCTAATACATCATAATTTCAAATAGGAATTCGTCGTGTACATAGCAAATGAAGCGTGAACTGAAAAACTAGGAAGCGGTCTGATCAGTTGCCCGGCGGCCGAAGGAGTAGTACGCTTGCGTTCTGCCTGTGAGGTTTCGGGTTCGATCCCCAGTTGGGTCGATGTATTCGTGCACTGCTGATGAGACCCAAACAAGAGGAAACAGCTGTCCAGTTGTGTTTCCTAGCTTTTCAATTCACGCTTCAGTTGCAATATACACAACGAATTCACCTTTTTGAAAATGAATCAAATGGTCCATTACTCACTTGAAACATCATAATTTGTCAAAATGTTTAATAATGGGAGGGACATGACCAAATGAGAAGAGAAATAATCAACGTTCCACTTCCATGACCGGATGTTGCTCACCGGTGGGTCATCACACACATGCACATTGGTTCGGGTCATTAGGGGTGAGTGAGGGTGGTTGTGTCTGGTGTGGTATTGGCCATGGAAGACCGACTTCTTACGAATTGTTTTTTGTGGCATCGAGGGGGGGATTAAGGAAGCGGATTCCGATCGCTTCCCCTGTGACTAGAACGCAACTCCTATTTCCTGTTAGATCGACGACTGCGAACTAAGTAGAGCGGGGAAAATGCCTCGACCACATCAACCACGTGGTTTGATTCCACTAGGTGTGAAACGATTGATCTGTTGATGGTCCTAACCACTCAACTATTCAGTCAAGCAGGGTGGTACTCACGGACTCGTTCAGATAAACGTCTGCTTGTGCAATCGATACACATACCTTGTCCCACAGGAGCAGGTAAATAAGTATACACAGAAAAATACTGTAGAAACGGGCAATTCATCCTTGAGTTGAAAGCACCAAAGTGTCCTGGAGATGAAGTTTTGCTGAGAGGACTACTTTACCCACAGCTGTACTCAATTTATGTGTCACCATCTCGGCAGTTGTGTCGCCGTTAAAAGGTGGTGATATATAAACCAAGTTCTTTTCAACGGTAGTGATCTTATTTGGCAACCGATGACGCCTCGAAATGTCCACGAATCGTTCTGGGTATCCATTGTGTAGGAAAACCTCGTATAAACCTTAGTTCGTTCTCAATGGTATCATCGGTGCGTATTCTCCGCGCTCCGGTAGTTAGGCACTGAGTCAGGTTTCTTTTCCTGTCCAATGGCACATCGCTTTTGAAATTGATATACTGATTATTCCACGAGGGCAAATGTTTCATTTCTGAGTCATAACTCTGGTACTGGAGGCCAAATCCATCCACCAGCGCTTTCCGGGATCTGATGCTCTAGTGCATCACAACTTAGTTGGACTAGATCGGCTGAGTTGTTTGACTACCACATTTGTACCATGGAGCGTTTGCTAAATTGTTTCAGTTGGCTCTCTCTCTCACAGCCACTCAGTCTCGGAGTCTCTTCCAACGGACCGTGACAGCAATTAATTTGAAGCATTGAGTCCGCTTTATCCATTTCCTTCATCAAGTCTGGATTCAGACATGTGCGAAATCCAAGTTCGAACGCTTTCAGTTACTCCTCCCTCTTTGAGTAACCACCTAGATAGTTGAATCAGAGCAATGATAATCGAAGAAGTATAGTGTGTTGCTTGAACAAAGGGAAGGCATCAACAATGGCTGAAAGAGATGCATGCGCAGGACCGGCCGAGTCTAGGAACTCATGGTTTTGCTCAAGATCTCCAATCACTTATTTGTGTGATGTTGGTTTTCACATTGTAGCAGTAGTCTGTTAACCAAGATTCTTTCACAGCCCTTTCACGTAAAATATTGAATGTAACAATAATAACAATACTTGTTATCATCTCTCTTGCAAAATGGAATATTGGTGCCAATCGATTTGATATGATAGTAGTTGTACTACTCGTGAGTAGTAAAACAATAGAAAAGTAATTCACCTAAATACATAGTAACCAAATGATGTTGGGAGTGTATCGAAAAATCTGCGCCATGTGTTGTTTTATTGTGAATGTTATAGTGTTAATAACACAGCGATGTCGATAGAGGATTACAATCTGCCTTGAAAAAGGTTACCCACTGTAACCAAAACGGCGAATATAATTCTCTACCGAAATCGCTGTTATTAACACCATAACATTCACAGCAATTCATTTAAGTTGGTGAGTTCTCGGATCTCAGACGTTTCGTAGCTAAGCTAGTCAACATCATCAGTGCAAATTTGAGGTGTGATTTTGCCTAGCTTGGCTAAGAAACGTCTGTGAACAACACTTCTAGCTCGGAGAACTCACCAACCAAAATTCGCATTCCGAGCTACAATCATTCCACACCATTTATAATTTAGGAAATTTGACTTCCATGGCTCGGGTTTTCTCGCATCTACCGCCATTTCCCTGTCTCCCTCTCGATAATTTCGCCTCCAGTTGTCTTCTTCAGCTGTGTTTTGTGTGCAGATGCATTCTCATGTTGAAACCAAATAGGAATGCCTGGTTCTACTGCTATCCTTTGAATGGTCGGGTAGTGACCAAAACCATCTAAGGAGTCAATAGTGAAGAGAATAATGTCAACAACTATAAGTGGTGCTACAGAATCGACCTCGCGTTTACTCAGACGATATGTTTAACCGTCTCCATGTAGTTGACAGTGAACTGGGACGTTAGCTGAAAGGAACAGTCAATGAAAGTCGTATGTCCGAGTCGTTTCGAGATATATACTATCCAATTTTTCAAACGGGTAGATTCGGGTTGATCAGTTAGAGAAATATCGTCTTTCTATTTTGTTTCTTTTTCTCAAGAGGTCTTTCATTCGTTGAATTAATTGTGTATCAGTGCTGCTGTTCGAGTGCCAGTAACTTATTTGATGTTTTTTTCTTCATGTCTCTTCCTCCCCCCTCTTGTTCTAGTTGCATGCCTAGTTATCATGGTGATCACGATGGGTGTCATGAGCAAGGATCGACAGTGGTTACCACGATCGGATCATAATAGAGTATCGTGGAGCTTTGCGTTTGCTGTGATTGCTGGTTTCTTCACAGTCATTTGTCTTTTCGGTCTGGTGACGCATTACCTGTCCGTGGAGAGTCGAATAATGATGGAAGATCCTTCTGTTCGACAGAAACTACTCGGATCCGAGACCAAGTACGGCTACGCGAAATCGATATCCGGTTTCGAGGCGGGTGCCGGAACCGAGTCACGTTTAGGCGGTGTCCCATCCCTGTTCACCATGCCTGTAACCGGTTCACAACTGGCTCCGGGAAGTGCCGGGGTCGGAGCGGGCACGGCAAGTCATCTGAGCCGAGCCACTGTCGCACCGGGGGCAGTGGGTGCGACAACTGCGGGAACTTCGGCCGCCACGGTCTCGGCCAAACTGCGGGAGACATTGGAAGCTCAACGTGCTGCCGTTCTGGCTGCAAATGCTCGAGCAATCGAAACTGGTCTGCCGGTCACCGGTGCTATTCCACAATCATCCGGCTATTCACCATCCATTTATCAAACTGGTGTACGTACAGAGCCGGGAGTGACTGGTTCGTTGACCAGACCGATGCCGCACACCGGATCGATGAGTCATTTACAGCCAACGGTCGCAATGGATTCGACCGTATAAGAGAACAGACGAGCTAAGAGAAGGATTTGTGTGCAAAGACCACAGTTTGATTTCACTTATCATTCGTTTTGTACTACATACTCAAGCAGTTATCTGCGACTGAAACTACTCATCTCATTGGCTGTTGAATAGATACTCAAAAAGGTTACCTAATTACTTTTTATGATAAATTTTTGATAATCTCGTTGAATTGGTCTTCTGTTGAAAACAAAAGCTCGAATGGGGTACATATGTAATGCGACCGCACTCCGGGTGCTCACTGTGCCGCGTAGTGAACGGAGCTGCGCGACAGGATGTCCCTCGACTCGTGTTCTCACCGCGCAAGATGATATGAGGTTTTGTGGGTGACGATATGACGAGGACATGGGACCGCGAGTAAAAACTGGCCTACAGGTGGTCCTCCGTGGGTCGGGATCAAAGATAAACCTTTAAAGTGAAGTAAACGAAATAGAAACGAAAAAGGTTCAGTGAGATACAAGTAGTCTTAATTACTGGCGCGGTTGCCAGTATACACTATGCCCAACTCACGATAAGTATACTTGGAAGGGAACTATGAGAAAATCATATAAATTAAGAACCGAAAAAATACCACAGTGATAATTACTACTTTCGCTAAAAGTCTATTCCAGAAGAAGTATGCTTTCATCAAGGGTAGATTTTAATTGTTTTTCACCTCATCAGGACTGTGACAAAATTGCGCTTTCTATCTCTCGGTATGTGCGTGCTAAAAGTTGGTTTTTCATAGTGAGTGCTATTTTTATTTCAGCACTGTGCATATCTGTTCCGCTCCCTCCCCGGAATAAACGATTTTTCAAGAAATGCAACCTCTCAATCACTTATTGATCAGGGGATGGGGGACCGTAGGTGGTGCCTTGTGCGCGTGACCTTGAAGGGAGCTTGAACAATTGCAACACACAATGAACAGTAGAGATCCAAAAAATCACAAGCCGTACTTCACCATCCGTCTTCTGGTTAAGTTCTGTGGTTCTGATTGGAATAAATTTGATTGAATCGCGTATCATACAATCCTTTCCGTGATGATCAAGCAGCCATTATCGTGAGTGGAAAAACGATATTGACTATACGTGTTCGGCAATGCACTTCTTACTCACTCGCGACGATCTGATATTTATGATAAGACACACCGGATGGTTTGTGAACCATTTCGATGGAGAATCAGCTCACTCCTAGGTTCGATTCGCATTTGAAAACCTTGCGCATTTGTTCTCGGCGTGGTCACACTGCAGACTCCAACCAAAGCATGGCATGGGATTGGTGACCCTCAGACGAGTCAATGCGACCCGAGTTACTCCCGTCTTACTTGGCAAACTCCACAGGATGAGCTGAATACTGTTCGCGTGTCGGGTTTGAATGCTGGCAACTTTTGCACAGGTCTTGCTCACCAAATACTTCCTTACTCGTGTTGCTATAATTCCACAAGGCGGTGCTCGATCGAGGATAGTCGTTTATTGTAGAATACAGTTGGGATATCACTAATTTGGCATACATAACACAGAACTCTCATCTGAAACGTACCATAGCAGTTCCCGGAAGCACTCCGGGTAATGAAAGCAGCAATTGGTAGTTATTCTTTGAGATACAGCAATTTGCCGTCGGGGGTCTTCCTTATTTTGATCGTCGAAAGGAATCACCATCTATTTTCCATGTTACTCACAAACGTTAGTAGTACCTCACATCAGTGTAACCTCCGTGAGTTGCGGTACCGTCGAGGCTCAGTCTCGGCGTGTAAATGATCCACGGGCAGATACATTCGTAAACAATCGCAAAAACCACAAATCAATTCACCGACAATCGGTGACATAGCAAAAGTGGGCACATAGCCAAGGTTCCAATGGGACTCGAATCTGACTCACTCCGAAAGCCTCAGTATCATCATCATCATTGTACAGCGTAATACAGTGAAGCGAACTTCCTTGATCGCTGCCAAACTCATATTGCATACAAGCTTAGTGAGAATGTGTAAGGACGACAGGGATTGGACCTATTTTTAGGGACGGGAAAGGAAAGCGAACCTCTATGATCAACACACAGAGTACACAGCCCAACTGTGCATACATACAATTTCAAGCATTTTGGTCTGATAAGAAGTGACAGCAAGCTCGGCATTGTTGTCGGTTCTCAGCCATGACATTCAGTGTCTTCAATCATGCGGTTTTGGAGTCTTTTGGACCCCAACCTGGAAGACGAGAGACACCTACTCTACCTAATCGCTCTGTGCATTTTTTATGCCTCGTCTCCACGTCATCTGCTGGCCTCCACGTGGCTTTCTACAACCTGTAACAGTCACTGCGAATAAGCCGCGCTGTGGTAGGCGACCGTCGGACATACGCAAAACGTGTCCCAACCAACGAAGCCTACTGAGCTCAATTCGATGCGATAGCGAGTGCTTGTCTGATGTATTACAAACTTCTAAGTTACTAACCCACTCACTCCATCCAACCTAGGCCAGACTACGTAAGCATCGATTGCCTGAGAGTAATGGAGTATTTAATTTGTGTATATGATGAATTTGTCGTGTAAATGAGGCGCGAACTGAAAAGCTGGGAAGCACTAGACAGCTGTTTCGACCCGGTTAGGTCTTATCAGTAGTGCGAATTCATCGACCCAACTCGGGTCAGCGCTGAGATGAGCGTGGACCGATACTCGCAAAAAGCTCGCATTGATGGGTTGTGCTGTATCGTGTAAATTCAAAATAAGAAACAGGCTGGTCAGCTCCCCGGTGTCCGAGTGGGTAGTATGTTTGAGTTCTGCCCATGAGGTCCCGGGTTCGATCCCGAGTTGGGTCGATGAATTCGCACTGCTGACGAGACCCAACCAGGTCGAAACCGCTGTCCAGTGCTTCCCAGCTTTTCGGCTCACACTTAATTTACACGAAGAATTCATCATATGTAAGCATCGATTGTCGAACACTGCTGAACGATAAGTGTCTTCTACCCGCAAATTCAATGTCTCACAACCGCAAAGCAAAACTGATCGTAGTGGTGCGGTGTATGCGACTTTTCAACTTCAGCGAAATGTCACTTCGTCGCCACAGTTGTTAAAGTCCTGCGAACGCTGCTCGAGCCTTGAAAATGCGGACGGTTATCTCCTCTAATGCGCTACCATTGTTTGTCACGCAGCTACCTAAGTACAAGAAGCAGTCACATTCAGTTAATTCCTGATCGTCTAGTTTCAGAACGGAACTCGGCGACACCCAGTCTTGTAGCTTCACTTTGCACTTTGTAGGTGCAAAGCACATACCGAATGTAGCAACCGTATTTGTTAGTCTATCAAGTGCACTTTGCGCGTCTTCCATACATACGAACAGACAGGCAATGTCATCGGCGTAATTCAAATCGCACCGCTTTTCTCCGGTTGCTCATTCAATGCTTACATTTTGGAGACCACTAAGTGCGTTCTCCAGTATTTCGTCTACGACGAAATTGGACAGGAATGGCGAAAGAGGGCACTCTTGATGAACACCGCTCTTAGTTACTAACCACCTACTCAGCTCGCCGTAGACCCTTACGCTACCAGACGTATGCGAGTAGAGTAAACTCAGTATATTCACATACTTCTGCGGCATTACTTTGCAAAGGAGCACTCGCGGTCAACTGAGTCGAAGGCTCCTTTTAGGTCAAGGGACATGACAACCGTTGGTCGACGGTGCGTATGGTGTAGCTCGAGGACTCGACGCAGGGTGAAGATTTGGTTGATACAACCGCGAACTGGTCAAAATCCTGCTTGTTGTTCGCGAATGTTTGTCTCCCTAAACGGCGTCAGACGTCGAAGTATAGTGGAAGCTAGTACATTGAAGATGAATGGGATCAAACTTATTCCACGGTAGTTCGCGCAGTCGTTGTGAGATCCCTTCTTAAAAATTTGAACAATCAGTGATTCGCTCCATGATGATGGAATGCGCTCGTGTAACCAGATGTCTCGCATTATATCAGTAATGAAGTCTATAAGGTTATCGCCTCCTATCTTGAAAAGAGTGGGAGGAAGCCCTGTAGTGTCTTACTTTTCTATCTACTTTTATCTGACTTGATTGTATAATTTGTTTTAATATACACAACACCTAACGCCACAATACAAATTCTGTTCGTAACTGCGCACGTGTTCTACGATTTTTGCTGAAGCATTACGCAAGCATTATCAGTTATCGTCAAGCGGTGCGTTAACTGTCGCAGCCATCCATTTCAGCTCCACTGCACCTCATCAGCCGGAGCCACACATCTGAAGAACAGGATCAATCAGCCGGACAACCCTTCTGTGAGTCCGTTCCATTTACCGTTTATTTCATTATTATTCATATATTTAGTATCTTTTCCACTACAGCCCGTCCGGTCCTGCTGCTTTTCCTTTTTTAAGGGCTTGGATGCATGACCAAACTTTCCCTGCAGTAGGAGGTTCACAGGACACTTTCCATGGAGCCATAACCACAACAGCCGATATAGTCCGGTGAGCACCTGACCAACNNCTCCGCCCACCGGTCAAGCCGTTGTTTCCTATTGTGAATAGCTTGTCCACTTTTGTCGCAGATTGTTTCACTAACTGTGGTTCGCCGACCTCCCGCATTGTGTATCGGTTGGAATAGTCTTTGAATCTTCCCTGATGCGGCTGCTACTTCTGGTTCACTAGCTATCGTTACCCACCAGTTCTCACGGTATTTCTTGAAACTCTTCTTGAGTTGACTTTGCAGACACCATCTACCCCTACCTTGATCCCGGGTGGTGGAGATTTGCCACTTTTTCTCCATCAGTGCTACTGACTCGTCAGAAATCCAATACCTCTGGCGGGCTACCGCTTCAGACCCACAAGGAACCTTCGCTGCGGAGTATATTGCTTGCCTAATCTGATCCCATTGTTCATCTACACTACCACCCCGCAGCGCGTTTTGCTCTTATCCTAGGTCTGATTCAAAACGGGTTCGAACGGCTGGGTCATATAAGCAATGATCTACCAACTGAGTTTGGTGAGGTTTTCTGCAACCAGTGAGT